CGCTGAGATAGGGAGAAATTGTGAGTTGTAATACATGTAGTTGGATTACCCTTGTCGGAGAAATCTGAACCCACGTCAGGGCATCGCCCCCCCCCCGTGGGGTACCTCGTCCCCCGCCCCTCGGGCAAATCCTGGCGCGCCACCCCTGTATATGTTTCGTAACAGAAAGAGACAACCAATCCCTGTCGCTCTCACTAACTCTAGGCCAACGCAGACAGCGTGTCGTAATACGCAGCCCGACGTGATTTGTTGTCTAATCGGGTCATGTGAGTTAAGGCCAACTCAGACAGGGTCGTACGGCACAGTCAAATGCGATTAGTCGTCGGGGACAGTCTTAAGCCGTCGTGAGATAATTTTAATATTCTTTGACGCTTTTTTTCCTTACGCAATCCACGCGTCTGCGTTTTAAGGCAAACTCAGACAGCGTCGTTCATTACAGCCTGACGCGATTTGTTGTAGCGTGGGGTCTGTGTGCAGACGCGATGGTTTGCGTCGGGGACAGTCGCGTCGTAGAATATTAAACATGTTTAATATTTTTGACGAATCGAGTCCGGCTTGTCATACGACGCTGTCTGCGTTGTTAGAGATGTTAAGAATTTATTGGTCGTTTACAGTAGATCGACAAGATTCTATTAAGCAGACACAGTATCGATGATTTCAAATAAAATAATAATAAGTTTGTAAAATCAACATATGATAAGTTTATAATTTATATTATAGGCACATTAGTCGTGAACATTGACAGATCATTACGTTAACAACTAAGAATACTGGATTATGTTGACTTACCCGGATGTGTGCTTGTAGACGACCTATCGTTGGTGAAGTAGGGCTCGATGTGTCTTCATTGTAACCGAATGATTCGAGTTAACCGGTTGAGTTGTATTTTTGAGGTGGATAATTATCCGCCAAGTGGTTTAATTGATTTTCAGCTTTCTCATCTATGATATCAAATCTGTCCACATAATTGGATGTTTGGCTTGTTAGAATTCCGTGCTAGTGCGTCCTAACAAAAAAGCTTGTTGGTTTTATCGGGTCCCGTTTAAACTCGATACCCCAATGTTTATACTTAGTCTTACTGAAATCAGTGTTTTTGCCGACGAATACTCTAACCAAATCATTTGTTAAAATTCACAAAGAGACATAGTAATTTGTCGTAAGTCAATCAAAGAAATAACAATGATCAAAACATACATAGGAAATGCAAAATAAAGCAATTTTCTCAGTCTCCACTAATAAAATTCTTATTGTTAGAGTGATACCCACCACCCTCTGAAACTCAACCGACCAACATCATCCACTTTAATAGACCTTCCCGCTCCTCCAAAATTATTATTTTTTTTTTTTTACTTTTTTTTCCCTTTTCATTTTTTAATAATCCCTTAAGTAAGATTTTTGGTCCCCTCATACATAAGGGATTCATGATTCTTACACTACATATTGGACTAGATTGACTTCATTCCTATTAAGGAAAAGAAAGAGAGGGATACGAAAAAAATCTACAAAATGAAATTGGTCAGCAAAAAACCCCAGAGGATTTTTAGAGCATTTATATGTGTAAATTTTCTTAACACTAGAGTACTCCCTTTTCAAAATAATTTCAGAAATCTTTCAACAGTCCACTGTTCAAGGGTCTATGCGAATAAATGGATAAAATATTGGTAGGTGAGGTAAATATTGGTGGATGCAGCACCTTCTAGTACAATGGACTTTTCCTCTAAGCACTGCCATTGGATAGTACTAAGGTCATACAAAACGATAGCATAGGCCTATGTACTTAAACACGTACGTTTGAGGGACAACACGTAGCACTGGCTCTGTTCTTATTGGTCAGTTGTTAAAATGATTGACACTTAAGAAACGATGATTTATCTGGCAACAATTGAACGACAAAACAGAGTGACATTATTCATGAATAACAATAATGATTATGATGATGATAATAATAATTGAATATATGTAATCTACATGTCGTAATATCGGAAGGGATCAAGTATTTAATATAGATAATTTTGGTTTTAATCTAAGAAAGTATTATTCCAGGAAACATAAAACTATAGTATAACGTTCTTCTTTCATCAGTTTATTGATTTAACTTTCATAACATATTTTGACCATGCCGTTCATAGATAGTTTACAGCGGAACGGGCAAAACGTCACAGGGAGAAATATCAATCATCTACGTTATTTACCGGTAGTAATTAAAATATGAAGCTCCTCCTTCCCTGCTGGTTACGGTAGTGTGCCTACTGTGGTATAAATAGGCCTAATCCTAATATATTTACGTCATCACCACAAGGTTAAAAAAACACACAATTGATATAAATTGTGTTGTGTAGCTCACAATTTTCTGATAAGCTTCAGTGATAATTGTGATTTACTCTAAATAAATAGGCTACTGTACACACTAATTGTCCTTACGTAAGTGCGGATTCTTACGAAGGACATAGCGAATTTGTCGACACAACCAAACTTGTCCCTTTTCATCAAACAAAATGTTACAACGATACCTTGTCGTTGTAATCGCGTTCTTCGTGATTTTCCAACGTGGATTCGCAGAGACACCACGTATAATGAAATCCAACAAGTCTATAAAGGTGATACCAGCGAGTGAAGAAATTCACTCAAGAAAACGTCGATCCACTGCATTTACTGCAGAACAAATCCAAGCCATCGTTGACCGTCACAATTACCACAGACGGAATGTTTCACCTGGACCCGCGTCGAACATGGAATATATGGTAAGTGTGTTTCTAATACACCTATGTGTAATTAATATTGAAATTTTAAACCTTGTATTTCCTATAAATGTAATCGTATCTATCTATAATATAATTGAACAGAAAACTCATTATGCATGCTCTGGTAAATATGTGCGCTTAGAATTACCTGGCGTACCACCACATTAAAAATATCATAAAATAGTATCAACCTAGAGTTGAGGTTCTTGCCTTTCAATTCCATGGTCCTGGGTACAATATCTGTACTGCAAGAGGATTCTTTTAAAGGGCAAAAATACAAAAGTCCGCTCCATAAGAGCTGCTTGGGCGAATGCAGAGGGTGCAATCCCATCCCACCACATCCCCAACAAAAAAAATGTACATAGACATACCGGTAAGATTTTTAAGGCATGAGATTGCAATATCCGGGCACCTTAGTCTATATTCTCAACATTTTCTGACCTCAGCCATGGTGGGTCTTAGGCGGTGTCGACTCTCACTCACACCCTACAGCCTAATTCTGCATCCGCCCCAGAGCCAGTGGAATATGTATAGGCCTATGATCATGGAAACATACGACGCTATTGCGAACATAAATCGCCTGGTCCCCTTCCTTCAATATCATATATATATATATATATATATATATATATATATATCTTAAATTATATATTTTCTTTAAAGTCATGAATAAGCTTACTAGGCCTAATCCTTATTTAACATATATTTTAAATTAATGTAACCTCAAATGTTGCAATATGTAATCTACATAATGTAAGAAATATAACAGACCCACTTTACATCCTATAAACAATCTTCCGTTCCTTCTGCCTTTATGAATAACATAAGTACTAAAGAAGCCCAAAGAAAAAAAGCATTTAAAAATAATAATTACGTGATCATACGCTTCTTTTTTTTTAAACATATTTTAAAATAATACTGAGGCTGAAATTGCTTAAACGTTAAAAACAAATAAGCAAAACATCAAGGCACATTTTAATCCTCAAATAGGCAAAATAATAAGAATACTGAGAATGGGAAACATTTTTTTTTTTTGGGTCTTGTGGGGTAACGGAGTAGAAGATCTATTGCACGATTTTATTTCCCCTGAACGCCAAGAACTGTTTTCCGATGCATGGGAACTTCTGTCTATAATGTTTTCCAATGACCTGTCCTTGAGTATTAAGCAACCTTAATGTTTTTTCTTGTTGTATTCAGTGGCACTTTCTACCTTATAAGACTGTGTTGTAAGATACCACTAAGGAATATACTGAACCCCATACTTAGTCAATGTAAAAAATTGGGTTTTTCTGTATTTTGAAGGAATTGCCACTAAGGAAAATAATTAGACTGATTTCCTTAAAATTCCAGCGTTTTTATTGCAATATTTGTGCTGCGTAGCAATCCTGGACGGAATGAGGAAGGCTCCCTGATTGCAATTAGCAATTGTATGGAAAAAAAAAGTTTTAGATTGCGGTTTTGCCATATCTTTTGCCTAAAGTTGAATTAAAAAAATAAAGTAAAGTAAATAAAAATAATTGGTTTTAATTAGGTCTAAGTCTTTTTTATTCAATAAAATCTGGCATTGCAGTTAACAATAGACCTATATTTTACACTCATTAAAAAAAATCTTTACATTATAGTAATAATATAATTTAAAAACTACCACTACTACAAAAAAAAAACAATAAAATCTTTTACTAGAAAAATTGTTACTATAAGATATTTTCTTTAATATTTACAAATTCCTTACAATTTAAGATTTCATTTACGAATTTAAAAGAAATACATTTTTTATTTACAAGAAATGGGGGGAAAAACGTAATTAGGTAAATTAAGCCACATTGCATCACCACCTCCGATGGCCAATTTTTCAGTAATGAGTTCCTCGGAGCAACCGCGAAATCATGTTTTAGTTTAAGGAATATGATTGTTGTGTCCTGGTCGGGCTGGAAATACACATACAAAATAATCGACACTGAGAAACCATCATCGGATGGAACATGTCATTTATTAAATGACGAAAATTATAACAATCAGAAAATAGTATAACAATACAAACTAAACCCATAACATTAAAATAATGATTGTATCACTAACCACAGTGAACATGTATTACATTTTTAACATAAAAATGCCTATTTTAATTCGGCATAGGCCAGAAAATATAGCAGAAAGTTGTACAATTGGTAGCCTGTATAAAAGTACGGTATGCATAAATATGATTGAAAATAATTATACAATATTGAAAGTAATCATCATTGTCCCCATGCATACAGTTTCTTGGTAAAATTAACACTTGAGTCTGGATGTTCACGCCAAAATCCCATCCTCGTGGGATGGGTTGCCACCCAGACCCTAAAAAAAAAATAAACCAACAAAACCCATTCCAAATAACTATTATATTTATTATACCTCGTACGAACCTGTTGACCTTATGCTGATCTCCAATTAGGGCCTGGGTCTATTGTACAGTACTTACAAATGAAGCAGCCCATGCTTGACTTCAATGGGATCTGTATCAAGAAACGGGAAAATTTTTCTTGCCTTAATCAAATGAAATCGGGAAAAGGAGGTCAGCAAGAGGCGGGTTCAGACGAAAGGGCTGGTTGTTCCCTGACTTATATAGTCCTATTGAGTTCTCCTGTGTATTTCGACAAGCTACCAACTTTAGCATCAGTTCTGTGTGTAGAACCTTCCCTGGTATAATAGACTTCCCTGGCGAGCTTTTCTAAATTGCTCGTCGTACATAGGCCCCATGTGCAACTTGAATGTAACTCTAGGATGTATTGTTACATGCATATTTGAACAAGTTGTCAGTAAAATAGCATGGAAAATAACGCCATGCAAATAAAAGTGCTCATCTGATGTCTGGGGTCCAAACCAACCAAGCAATGCAAAACTATATGGCTCAAACCGGCCCAGAGTTGTCTGTGGTATACAAAAACGAAGTCATTCAACAATATCTGATATCACACTTACAGCTGGGGGATAGGCCCGAATTAGTTTATGACGCCGTAAATTTTATGGCCAAGAATAGAATGACAAATAATAATGCTTTGATCAAATAGGTGAGTGGGCGGCCCGGAATTAGCCTGTTATGTTTGTACCCCATGTAGTACTTATAAATATAAAACAGTGCATCTCTGGGGGGTGGGGTGGAACCAACCTAGTAATGCAAACTCCGGGGCCTAAAAAAAGTATATTTATTTGT